TGTATCTTCTCCTGGGAGAGGAGGGTATCTGGGCATCTATTCGTAGGTGAATGTGTAAACCACAACAATATGCAGCCTGCACTTTCCAGGTTGTTAACATGACATGTTCGAATGTCTTTGTGCGTTAACATTCATTTTTGATTCATTCATTTATTGTTGTCATTATTGTTACACTTATTAAGTACTGAATTTAGGCAATTGGAATTTTTCTGACTACCAAATTACAATACAATAACCTTATGAGGTTAAAAATAACATTTTTGGTTTGGGATGAATTTCTATAACTGGAAACACTTCTTGATGCAACTCTAGTATCTGAGTGTGGGAGTACACATGACCCTGCTCATGATACTTAGTTTGTTAGGGAAACAAACCAATAAACTTTCAAAATATGCCAACTTTTCAAAGATTTGTTGAAAGGTTACCTTTTAAAAAACTATAATTGGGTCTAAAGAATAAATAAATAAAATAAGAAGGACAGAACTGACAGATAGCTAAAACATTTATTTTCCACATTTACAGTTGGTCAAATTTTTTTAAACCTAAAATAAATTTGATATTGTATTTAGGTGAACAAAAAGCTTTCATTAGCACAAGAGTCTACAGTGTACAAGTATGTTTTCACAATTCATCGGATTTTATAAAATCAAGTGAAAGTTATCAGAACAAGACTTGAAGGGAGCAATTTAAACAGAACACATTTTGTTAGCATTTCACATTTCACTAAACATCAAGTAAAATTTTGCCTTAATGCCTAAACTTGTTTGCATTCATTATCTCAGGGCCACCTGACACTGCCATTGGGACAGATGTGACATGTAATAAAATAGTAAATGTGGTTTCAAAATGTTTGAATCAGTTTTGAATTGATTGCATAAATAACAAAACCTTTATTTGTACACAAACCTATTTCCTTTTACTGTAGCTATTCTGGAAAGTGAATCACCAAAGATCAACAAACCATCATCTATCATGACCACAGGTAGGACATGCAGTACACTTAACTAACAACCCAGAGCATCATCACACATCGCTTCTTTTAAATGTCTTTAACATTTTATTGTCCATTTATGAAACAGAATCAAGTCTCAGCAAACTCAGTGCTTCAACTTCCACTTCAGTGAACTCACTGTCAGGTAAATAAATTACTGCTGTGGTGTTAGTCAAGTAGTAAATATTTTTTCTGTGATAATGTAAATTTGCCCAAATTAAAAATTAGACATTTAATATTTCTGTTATATATTATTTTTCTAACTAAATATTCTGAAGACTGAAACAATGTGTAACAATTCAAATACTTGGCATTTCATTCCCTTTACTTGGGTTGAATAATGTAAAGAAAAAAAAAGAAGCAGGAATTTCTTTACAGAGAATAGTAACATATGTGACATTATAGTATTTATTTGATATCTTTCTATCTTAAAGGATTGGGTACTCTTAATCTAAACCCTACAACTGGTGTGAACACTCCTGTCAAAACAACTCAGTATATAACCTCACGAGACAGTACAACAGGTGAGACCGAGTGCATCAACAATGTGAAGATAAATTGAAATGTCCTTGTTTTATTTATGTCTGATTCAATTCTAAGAATGTTTAAAAAATCTCAACTCTAACTCTAAAATTCTGATGTTTATCAGGAACAGTAAATATTCACCATGTTCAACATGTTCAGCATCTTAAATAAATGGAGAAATGAAGTTACTAATTTTGCTGGCACTTGGTCACAAACCCTCCAACATTGATGCAAATGACCAGATATGTTTTATCTGTAGATATTTTGTGTGTTTGATATTCTTTATTATGAATATTCATGATCATAGTTCTTTTTTAAACTGTAGTTATTGTGGGAAGAGAATCAAGAATGACCAGCGCAAAAATGACATTTAGTCTGGCCACAGGTAGGAAATACAATACATTGAAATATAATCCAGAACATCATCACACACACAACTTCTTTAAAGAAACTCATTTTTTGTGCATTTTTTGAAACAGATTTGAGTCTCAGTACTCCTGGTGCTTCCAGTCCTACCACGTCTGTGAATTCTCCTGCAGGTAACTGCAGGGACAGTAGAATTGTAAAATATTGTATACAAATATATTTCTACATTAATGCAAACCAACTTTAAAAAAATAAGCTAACACATCAATCAACTATTGCAGTATATGTCATTTCAAACTAACTGTGCAAATACACTGAACCTAACAACCTTAGGCAGCTTTTGGAAATTTTGTCCAAATATTTTTTTTCTAAACAGATTCATACAAGACTAATGCTACAATGACTATTACTACAGTCAAAGGTAAGACAAAGTACAGTTAAACTGTACATATATATATATAAATTTTTTTTATAAAAGTCATCTGTTTTATCTGTTATTTCAAAAGTAAAAAGTTCTTCACCAGGTCCAACTTTTACTTGGTCTCATACTTCCACCCGTGCCACTGCTACCTCAGGTATCCATTTTTTTTTTTTTAACAAAATGGTAACATACAGTATATTATCAAAAGTGAAACTTACCTCACGGCACATTGTTAGTCAGTGGTGCTGGTTTCAGTCATTATACAGATGTACTGTTTATAATGTTGGGGAAACCTGCAGTCAGCTGAGAGGTCACATGAATGAGTGATGAAAAGTTTCTCCCACTGAAAATGTTACATCAACATTAACAGAATTAACTTTTTGCGATTATCAAAAGTGCCTTCACATGCATATGAACTGGAGTGCCATCCCATTCTTAATCACTTTAAATCCTGTGGAGTGATTTTTCACACCATAGGGTTTAAAATGAAGTTGGCCCACTGTTTGCAGCCATAACAGCTTTAACTCTTTTAGGAAAGCTTTCTGCAAGGTTTAGGGACGTATTTATAGGAACTTCCATTAGCACATTTTGAGCTCGGACACTTCTGCTGGACAAGAAGGCCCGGCCTGGAATATCTACTTTAATTCATCCCAAAGGTTTTCAGTCAGGTTTAGGTCAAGACTCTGTGCAGACCAGTCAAGTTATTCCAAACCAAACTCACCCATCCAAATCTTTATGGTCATGGTCATGGACATCCACAAACTGTTCTCACAATGAAACTTAGTGTGGATACAAAGATACCTGGAACATGAGACATGGCACAAAAGCCAACAGATGACATGACCCTGAACAGAGGAAGCCAAAGGACTTAAAAATACAGAAGGATAATGAAAGGATGGGGAACAGGTGGGAACACAGGTGGGACAAATCAGAGCTAACGAGACAAGGGGAAACAAAACTACACAAACTGTACACAGCACAGGGGGAGCATTTGCTGACCCAAATTTCTGATTTTATGTTACCTACCACTTTGCTGTCATTGCCAGTTGTTTCCATTTTATTATAATACCACTAACAGACTATGGAATATTCAGTAGCGAGGAGATTTCATGTCTAGATTAGGGGCATCTTATGAATGTACTCTTGTTGCAATTTAACACAATATAAATAAAACTTTTGGTGATATAGTGTATATAACATTATAATATTTATCATATATTTATATCCTAAAGGATCAGTTAGTGCTTATCCTAAACTGCTATTAGTGTGACCTCTGCTTTTAAAAGAACTGAAAGAAAAATGACATTTAAAAGATGTTATCACATGAGTTTCACTACTTCTCAATGTTTCTGTTTCATTTTAGTGGGTCAGGCACGCCAGCCTGACAGTAGAGTAAACTCCTCTTCAAAAATATTACAATCAGGTAGGTAAACAACAATGTCTTCAACTCTTTCACTTTGTACATGGCATTATGGTTATTAATAGAATTAATAAAAAATAATAATAATGTATTAATGTCTCACAGTTTTTAAGCAGTTTGGCTGGACCAACTGTGTCTACTTTTAATTGTTTTGGTTTTGAGTTAGAAGTGAAACTCTTGTTTGGCTTTCAAAGCAGAAGCATCGATATGGAAGTTGGCAGTAGCTGTGACTGGATTGGGAGTAACCATGGGTGTCATCTTACTGGTGCTGGGGCTTCTCACATTCAAAAGAAGAAGTGGTGAGGGCACATATGAAAGCATACAACTTTTTATGTTTATGTTTTTTAGAGATAGAATCTGCCTGTCAACCAAAAATAAAATAATATTACCTTTGAAAGTTTAACCAAAATATGCATTTTAAAAAATTATCTTCTGAATGATCAGAAAACAGACAAACAGCCCATGGTACCAATGATTATTTCACTTAATCGATGCCATGAACAAGAAAATGAAAAATTTGTTCTGAAAAAATCAATGTGGCTAGTTATAGTACAAAATCATGAGGGCTCACAGGGATTCACCCCCACTTTGAGAACCTGGAACTCTTGAAGTTTTTGTAATATAGTGATACATTTTTCATAGCTGCATTAAATATATAATAATAATTGTACATTAAAAAGACCATCTTATTCTGAAGAAGAAAAAAAGTTCAAGCAGAAATAGTTCATCATGCCTAATTTATACACGTGTAAAAAATGTTATCAGTTTCATAGTTGTAAATGAACCTGTGACTTTAAAGCTAATCAGATGCTGATCAGACATTTCTTTACCACTACCTTTTCAGAAACATGTTCTCAAAGCAGGTAAGGAATATTTTCTCAGCAAACCTTAATAAGTTGTTTACCTGTCATCATTCAGACAACCAGAAGTTGGTCTTATTTACTTCAGACCTTTTCTTATTTATCCAGTGAACAGAATCACTGGAGCAGTGGTGAATCAAATGCCTTGCTTGAGGGCAGGACGCCTAATAAATATGTCTCATAATATTTTTTTCTAATTCTCTACAACAGACACTTTTTTTCTTGTGTAATGTAATGCAAACATTGTTTTCAATTTATTTTTAAACATTTTCTTTATTTATGTGTAGGACAAAGGCAACATCACCAGGTATTGTATACATTTAGCTGTCAGGCAAAACTATCAATCCATGTATTATGGTTTTTATTTTGTTGAGTTTTTCTTTTTTTACAGGTGATTTTATATCAATGACTAAAATGAACCAGGGAAGAATGGTAAACAAAATGTTTCAGTCAAAAAAAATACTCTTAATTAAAACAATCAATTTAAATACCGAGGACATAAAGTTGATTTTTCCCCGTTGTGTTAAGTTACCTGCAGGTAATGATGGAGGCTCCAGTGTGATCGCTTCAGTACCTGATGACAACTGTCTTACTAGTAAGCTGTGTTTTATCTAGCCTCTACTAATAAGATGGTGAAATTGTTGTACATGGTAGAGCTGTTCGATATAACGATATATATTGGATGACGATATGAAAATGTCTATCATTGCATATTACACTATCGTTTGTTTCGTGGTGTCGCAAAATAAACTGTTTACGGCAATATTTTTTCATTGTTTTGATGGTCACTTTAGAATTTCTCTCTTTCTCTTATATTTAATATAACCACACTACAAGCAACTGTTTTTATGCGTTGATGTTAGCCACAATGATGGTAAAACCATTGCGTGGTTCTGTCATCTGCTTGTTTATTTTCCACATAAACATTTCACAATAAAGCTCAAGATCCTGTTGAGATTTTTCAAAATAAACTGAATTACGTGAAATAGTATGCAGAGTGTTTACAGATGAGAAGCTAAAAAGAGACGTCAGGTGCTAAAAATATCAAGCTTAGAACAGGTTTTTCCCTGCAGCATGCAGTGTAATAAATACTCACAAAGGATTGCGGTTGTTTTGACTTATGTAACACTCGACTCCAGGTATGCTACCCCCAGCTGAAAACACTTCACGCAAGTCGAGTTGCCTGAGATTCACAGAATTTACAGAAAATGTAAAATTTTTGTGATATATATCGTTGTTGGGACAATAAATATCTTATATCGGGATATGAGATTTTGGTAATATTGCACAGCCCTAGTACATGGAGTAATTATTTATGTGTACCATTAGTTGTTTCTGAAAGTAACACAATAACATGATGACTGTTTAACAGTAATATTGTTAATATGCTCAAATCTTTATTACATATCTATAGCATATTTAGTTATTACTGCTGACTAACTTTCAGTAACATAGTTGATTTTTTCAAGTGTATAACAAGGGAGCTTTGGCTTTGATAACATTTTACTACCTTGTGATAAGGAAAGCTACTTGACCACTAAAGAGCCTTTAAAATGTCCAAATTTAGAAGAACACTATGACATATACAGTTACAAGACAAACTTTGTGAACCCACTGGACTACATGTTGTCTTGCACTTGTGTGTGTGTGTGTGTTTGTGTGTGTGTTTGTGTGTTTTAATCTTGACTGAAAGAAATAATTTTTCAATTTTGTTCTCTTTCAGGAGAGAAACTAAACTTGGAACAGACAAAAAATGAAGATGTAAGTTAGACCTGGTGTTGTAATAAATATGTCAGCTTCTCATCTAAATCAATGCTAATGACTAAAAGGTCATTACTCTTTCTCTTCTAGTCTGACATTTACCATGTGTACGCCACCATCTCTGAAGCAACAGATCCACCAGATTCACAGGACACGATATACAGCATGCTGAATGCACACTGAAACACAGTGAAACATGTTTGGTGACGTTGTTAGTAAAATGTCTAAAATGATTTAAATCATGTCAAAGTGAGAAAAGTGTGACAGGTAATAGATGCAATCTTGCAAAAAATCTTGAGCTTGAATTGTTGTACATTTTTTTTCTATTTAAAGATAACTGACATGATGATGATTTCAGCTTTAGTAATTTTAATAAGCGGAATCTAGAGGAATCTCTATCTTTACTGAGGGCTATGAAATACATCTCCCCTTAATCTTATCTGTACCCTGTCTGTTATTGCACAACTTAATAAAGCTGTTTAGTACTTCGAATGTATCCATATAATACAGCTCCAGTATATAAATTTGTGTAGATGATGCTCTACTACTCTGAGTTGTGACAATAACATTAGCAGTTAGTCTTTTGTTACGTGCTGTGACTGCACACAGGCTTGTAAAAATAGGCAACATACAATTGACCCTCCAACCACCAACCAGCTGCAGTTTTTAGGTCAGCACACAAGACCTAAAGTAGCATCTATCTATGTGAGCTACTGTCTATCTCCTTGCTCTGTTTACTCCCACACTCCTTTCACTAAGTCTGCACAAACAATTCTCAATCGTGAATCTTTTCTACTTATTTTATTCTGAGGGCTCAGTAGCCCAATTTAACTATATTATTTTCAGTGCTCAGAATTTCAGTTAACTGTGAAAGTGATCTAAAATGTATTAAAAGCCCCAAACCATTTGCCAGCACAAGTCTTGTAAACCACTTTTCTAGTCCTCACACATTAAACATCCATCCATCCATCGTCTTCGGCTTATCCGGGGCCGGGTCGCGGATAACGACATTAAACATATTTAAATTGTTTTGGTGGGTAAACTTACCATTTTCTTCTCAAAATATTATTAATTGTTTTTTTTCTCATAGGCTGATGTTTATTTCCACATTATTATCAGCAGTTTCTGGGTGTATGCATATAACCAGAAGAAGGACAATGTGGGCATGCACAGCACATTTCATGCTCACGCGAGCGGCCTGAAGTTCCTTTTTCACAACATCTTTTGAGGCCAGTGAGACTTTCAGACACAGATCCCACTGGTGTATTTATAAACTGTGGTATCTGAATCAGTCACATGATTTGTGAAATTATAAAATAATATAAATAATATATATTTATATAAATAATATAAATGAAAATATAGTCTGAAATTTGAACTCTGGAATAATTGTGTTACAATATATACAATTTCTTGATTGGATATATTGGCTAATGCTACATAGTAGCATTAGGAATTAAGACCCCTACTGTACTATCAAATTTGTGCACTGCACCTTGATTGACCTTCATCTGAGGAACAGCTAAAGCAACAGAAATGATACTGTAGCATATTAATCTAGTAATCTTAATTTAGCCCCCCTGTGGTGGCTGGTATATATAACACACATATAGGTATTTTTAATTAGCTGCTCTTTATATGTGTAGCTTTGTGGCCTCAATATGTGATGAAGTACTTCTCCTGCCTCTTGTGGTTTTCCTGTGACCAACTGCTACAAAATGATTCATCCCCTTCTGTGTCGTCAGAAACGTGAGAATCTTCTTCTCAACAGATGCCTTTGGTGTGCCGTCCTAATGTGTAAGTTAAACATCCTGCAGATTTTGCAATATTTAATGTGATCTCCCAACATTCGCGTAAGTTCACACTTGAAACATATATTTTGCTTAAGTTATTTCAGACTTATTAATAGATTTATTTATGTCCTTGACATATATTTTCAACAGTGTCCTTCCATGTAATGCAAGTACAAGGTCAGTCTCTGATCTACTGTATTTATTGCTGAGTTGTGTTGTCACTGTATGTTATTCCATGATTAGTCTATGATTGGATTGGGTAATGTATAATTGCTTACATGGGAAAAAAGGGTAAAAAAAGGCACAGGTATATTATGTGACATAACATCTAAGTGTTCAGTATAACATGTCTTGGTCTGAAAATGGCAATGAAACAGCAGTGATCACAGAATTTGTTTTGTAGAAGTTTTGGCTGTTGATCTCACATCAGAGTTCATCTGCCAAAGTGTCATGGTCTGGTTGAGTGAGATGTTTTTTCATAGAGCTGGGGCTCCACCTCCGGACGGAGTCTCCATTCAGCAGTCTCACCTGTCTGCAATCAAGCTACCAGTATTTAAGACCAGCACATTCAACAAGTCTTCGCCAGATCTACAGCTAACCAGTGTTAGTGTTAGGCTACATTGAAAGTAGTATTCTCACTTAACCTGTGTCTCTGTGTTCTAGTAACCCACCAGGTCATCACGCTTCACTTTTAAGCAGTACTTACCTTCATTGGGACGCAGGTCTTCCTGCAATCACACAGTCTGGTTACCCTCCATTCCTCTCAACACATCACCTGCCTTCCTTCCTGTCACGGCTTCTGGAACTTATTTGGATCTGGACTTTGACTCACCCCAGATTGGAAACTCACCCGGACCTATTTTGGACTGCCCTCCTTCCACATCGTTCTCCGCCTGCAACGAGTAAGCCATTAGAAACACTTCCAGCCTTACTTACCATGAATCACTGGAACCCAGCTGACTCTCTGCACTCCTTTTGTTGCAGTCACTCTGCACTGCTTCGCCCGAGCCACAGCCCCTCCTCCCATTGGCCCTGTTCATGGACTTTAGAATTAACTATAACTCAAAGATTAAGCTTCGCGTTTTGACTTTTTAGGTTGTCTCGTAAGTTCTCAGTTCATAGTCTACACCCAGGTTTAGTCTCACTTTGTAAATAAAGCACTGTCTTCACATCAGTTTGTGCCTCTCTCTCTGTCTGTATCTGCACTTGAGGCCTCTCACCTGGTCTGGCCTCTCGGCCGTAACACAAAGTAGAAGTGAAACTTTGCCTTCTTACAGTTATTGACAAAAAGATGATGAACAAGACAGCAGATGCAAATGTTAATTTATTTACGACCACAATTATTTTCTTTTACGTTAGATGTGAAAAGAGCATCAGGAATGTTCAACATGGTATGACACACAAAACAGCTAAACAGGAACTCATTATTCATTGCTCATCAGTTGTTCTCACATAGAACTTTTTTGCACATTTTATTCAGAAGAATGGAATCTCAGCAGATGCAGTGTTTACACTCACACCACTCCCAGGAACGTTATATTAGGTAGAACGATTGTTAATCAGAAATAGACTGATTTGTATATGAATGTTTTTAGTGTCGTTCCTTCTACACATTTATTTACCTGAATATATAGAATTAAGAAAAAAAACAAGAAGAAAAAGACTTTACACATTAACCTAAAATATTATGAAAAAACATGTACAGGACAGAGTGAGAAAAACATATGTCTTACTGTGGCCAGTTAGTGTGATTCACTTCTGATCCTGTGGTTTTCCTGAAAGCAACTTTTAAAAATGTCACTTATTTCAGGCAAAAGTAAAAGCAGTTAGTAGTAGTCTGTTCTGTTCACATGGTTTCATCATGGCTGAACTCCTGCTGCTGTTGGTGGCCTTTGCATATTAGTTAAACTTTTTCTCATATCAGCTGGTACTTGATACTTGGTACTTCAGCTGATTTATCAGTTAGGTATCACTGTTAGCATGTTGCATTTTTACATGAGGATGCTAACACTAGACAGGAAATTTCGTACATTGTTGCTTCTGTGTTGTATTTTTAACTATCAGTAACAAAGTACGGGATCAGTCTCTAAGCTTTTATTGGAGCTTTTACTAGTCCCTAGGCGGGACTAGTAAAAGCGCTATACAAATACAGGCCATTTACCATTTACCATTTTATGTTTCATGTTTCTATGGGCTTTTTACTTTGACATTATTTAGTTAATGTTCTTAAGTCAAACTTTTTGTCATGTCTAATTTTTATTGTTTCCTATTACTTAAAATCTATTCAGTTATTATGTCAGTTATGATTTAATTTTACAGCTGTATCATCACCTTTCTCATTTTCTCTTTTTCTCTTCTCTTTTTTCTCATATTGCCGTTCTTCACCAGATTCTTTTCATGAAATTAAAGCACAAGGTCAGTCTCTAAGTTTCATGTTTTGTTTTTTGTCACCAATGTGTTGGCTATTTATTTAGACTATTTCTTTGCAGATTCTCTACAAATATCTTATCACCTTATGATTTCTGACATTGGGAACTAACTATTAGAAATAAAAATCTGTGCATATGAAATTTCAGGCATTTTTCCACCTGAACTGACTGTGACTCCACCTGTGATCACAGAGACAGACTCAGTCACACTGAACTCCTGTTTCTGTGCCTCAGTGTTATTTCCTCATTTCAAGAAAGAAAACTGCCAAAAGTTATTCTGTTACACTTGAAGTGACATGTTATTGCTTTTTTTTTTTTCAGAAGTCCCCACTCAGTAACATATCACCAATCACCATACAAAGTTACCCATTAAAACACTGATTTTGATTTTGCACATTTGACTTTTAATTTATTATTTTATTGTTTTTTTCTGTCATCAGTGTGTCAACTATATACTGACTATTCTTGAACAATATATTTTTCTGTTAATGGTGATTTGACACATGGAATTATTATCTATTTAATATAACTTATATTTAGTATCTCTAAATTTCAGCCATTCCCCCATCTGAATCCACCTGTGATCACAGAGACAGACTCAGTCACAGTGAACTGTCAGACTCCATCATCTTTTAATGTGACTCAGTGTTTTTCATATGTTATAAGAAGAAGCAAATATACATCCGTCTCGTGTGAGCAGAATGTAACAGGAACTGAAGTCCTATCTTGGGCAGCAGAGTTTACTGCTGAGGTGGTAGTGACATGTTTTTACATGTCACAGCAATAAAGGAGGACAATATCAGTGTCCTCACAGTAAAATATTTTCCATCAACATAGAAAGTAAGTGACATACTCCTCTTTTTTCTTTTACATTATGTGCATATAGCCACACCAATAGGAAAGTTGAGGTAGTAGTTGATTGTAGTTTATTGCTTTTTGACTTTGAAGATTTGACTTTCTTTTTGTAAATGCATTAGTTCTGACTACTTGTAGATCACTCTCATCTGCAAGCACTTTGACCTCTGCTCCTACTATGAAAGTCACAACAGGACATAGTCCTGCAGATAAGAATTTTAAAAATGAAATGGGTTTAAGTGTTTGAACAAGTACACTTTTTAGGCTTGACTTCTAAAGCCTTCAGCTCTATATAAATTATTTCTCCTGCTGTCCCACTGGAGGCAGCTCCCTTTCTCCTTCTTTTCCTGGTATAACTGACACAGCTGCCAGTAATCTGACCACTGCTAACATGACTTTTACAGATCCAGCAACCAGTGATGAAATAACAAACTTATTTTTCTTATTTTGAATAAAGTAAAAAAAAAAATGTTTTTGCACTTACAGGATATTGTTTAATAGGTTAGTCAGCATCTGCCACAATCTTTGGTCTTTGAACTAACGTTTTGAGTTTTTGGACTGTAATTTAATGTTTTCTGTCTTACTTTGTTTTAGTTTGTTTACTTTACATCCCCAGTGTTTTCCATCCTGTTAGACGTTCCCATGTTTAGTTACTTCTTGTTGTATTTTGTTAGTTCGTCGTCTCATGTGCATTGTTTATTTTTGCTTCCTTTGTCTCGTTTATCATGATTAGTTTAAGCTGTGTGTGTTTTCCCCAGCTGTTTTCCCTTTCCTTGTTATCTCAGTATATTAAAAGACTCAGTTTACCTTATTTCTTCATTGTTTTGTTACTGTTGATTACTGCATGTTTGAATGCCTGTATGTTTTAACCTTTTAATTTATGGACATTGTTTTCTTATTTTTATGAATAAAGGTTCACCTTTTGTTTTTTAATTCAAATTTAAAAGTCCACCTTCACACCAACTTATGACACCTTCATAAAATCATAAAGATACTAGTGCACTCTAAAAAACAAAAAACAGAATTGAACTAATGTAGAGCTTTTCTTACACCATGCCCACAATAAGTGTTTTTTTTATTACTGTTTTAACATTTTAAACTTAAAATGTGAATTGAACTCCTTTCTTAAAGCTGCAAAAATGATATGGACAATCAGAGCATTCGTAATGGTGGATGTTCTCTTGCTTACACTACCTCTTGTGCTTAATCAAAGGAAGACTGGTAAGAAAAATCTCAGCTGCAGTTACTTTACTTCTCAATTTATTACAATTAACTTTCAGATAACATTTTTTAGTAATAAAAGATATCTCTGATTTCCTGTGGGTTATTACTCTTGTTGTTTTCTTTTTTTTTAATCTACAGAAAAGTGATTCCAAGACATAAGTAATATTATTTTTCAAGCTGGTCATCTACCTTAAGAACCAGTCTACAGCTTCTTTTCCATTATTGCTTTCAGTTATGTTCATTCTGACCACCACAGTCCTCTCATATCAACTCTTACATACTGTTCAAATTTCAAGCCTTCACAGTAATGGTCCAGGTCATTTTTGACCAAGAATTCCTTTGTTTTGTATGGGTGATTCCCATGCCCACTGAAATGGAAGCTCAGGTGCCTTTATTGGATGAAGCGTTTAAGACTTTTAGCTCCTTAACATATGTCACCCTGTTTTTAAAGGGACCAAAAGTACAATTGACGCAAAGGCTATTTCATGGGCAAGTGTGAGCTATTCCTTTGCTGTATCATTATCAGTTAAGCAGATAAAAGGAGTTGATTTGAGGGGTTCACTGCAAGAATCAAAAAGGCTTGATTGGACTTTTCTAAAAACATCTAAAAAAAAAAAAGTCCAGCACAGTTCTGGAAAAGTATTCTTTGGACAGATAAAACCAAGATCAACTTCTACCAGAATGATGGCAAGGAAAAAGTATGGAGAAGAAGTGAAAAAAGCTCCTGATCCAAAGCATACTACATCATCTATAAAACACAGTGGAGGCAGTGGGATGGCTTGGGTGTGCATGGCTGCCAGTGGAACTTAGACACTAGTGTTTATTGATGATGTGAAACAGGAAAGAAGCAGCCGAATGAATTTTGAGGCGTTCAGAGATATACTGTCTTCACAAATCCACCTAAATGCAGTCAGACTGATTGGGCCCCAATCAGTCACAGGAGGTGGCTTCTAGCAACAGCTGTGGAGAAGTGAGGGAGAGAATGGGGAAGGTGAAAGATTTTAAAGAAAAACTCCCTCTTTCTTTTTTTTGTCACGTATAAACGACGCAACATCACTGGTGACACAAAATGTGTTGCTCATTTACTTTCACTGCAGTGATATAGTCTATATATATTTTGTCATTTAAGCCATTTTATTGTTTTGTTTTCTATTTTAGATAACTCGAAATCTATGGTAAGTCTCAAAAGTTGAAGAATATTTCAAAAACTTCTGTTTTTACTCATAGATGTTCTACCTTGCAGGAATTATTCTGTCCCTTCCATCTAACGTCTGTTTGAAATAATTTACAGGCTGATAGTGACACCTACAGTACCGTCACCTATGACTGCATCTTTGGTGTGCTGAACACAGGCAGGAACTGACCGATTTCATTTTGAAATTCTACTGAAACTAAAAACAACACTACAGGTAAAAATGTTTTATATGTGACATGGAAAATAAGTTGTTTTGACGTGTCATTTATGAAATACTTTACATTTTGCATAATGATGGAAAACAAATATTTTTAACTGAAATCAGTTAATTTGTGCCCTCATCCAGCTGTTCCAGGCCTGGGAAATTTATTGCTAAACTTTCTTTCTTTTGTTTTAATATTGATGTTTTGGACTAGAAACTGATTTGTCAAGGTCAGCATGTGTAGGTTGTAACACATGTGAGTGTTTATCCCTCAAACTAGGGCCCATCTTGCTGTATTTAAGATTTACAAAGTAAAAATAAATATTTTCAAAGTTGACATTGAGGAGCAAAGATCCTTTGCTTTTAATAAACATTTGTAAACTTTTGTGATGTATTAAACATCTTATTATTATGTTGTGATTAAAAAAATCTTTCTTACCTAATTAAGGTACATAATAATAATCAAATATATTTAATTCTACACACAGTGACATTTTCTGCAGTGCAACAAAATAATAACGTTTAAGATAAATCAGCACTTTCAGGGCTGATTAATTAATGTACATTAAAAAAAAATCACAGTCCTTGTTTTCTGTTGGAATTATTTTGCCCCTTTGTTTATGTCAATTTATGCAAATGACTCAACTGCAGGGCTCACTGGAGAAAGGTCACAAGATTTAATGAAAAATAGTAGATGGTGTTAGTCTAATTTGGTTGTATGGGGTCTACATTGATCTTCTGTGTTGTAAGTTATTATGATTACACAGCCATTAAGAATCAAATCAGCTTCTAAAAAATATTTCTGCTTTTTCTCCCTCTGTTTGCTTCTTACTGTCTTTGAGGCTCGGGACCAGCACTCCTGCTGTTGGACAGAAAGACTTCAACCAAGGTAAGTGTTTTGTTTTTCCAATATATCAGCAATTGTCAGTGACATTCAGGCTGAACTTTAATCATACTTTAGATCAGCCTGTTTTACTTATTGTTTTATTTGTGCTTTGGGGAAGTTGTTTCTTTACTGATCTTTTCCTGTCTTCTGTTATTAGACTTGAGGTATGACTGCACTATGCTGTTGCTGGTGACTCCAGTTAATTCTACAAGACATGCTGTGTAAGTAAACAAACAACAACAGTTTGGTCTGCATTTTTTGAAAGATCACACCCCCCAAACCTAGTTTAGAGGGTCTACACTGTAAATAGTGAAGTCTGCAAGGTTTCTAACAGCAAAATTTGTTTTGTGCCCAAATCATTTTTCAAGTTATTGGCCATGTTTGCATAGCCCTTTTTAAAATGATGCTTTCATGACATGTGGTGGTGATGGTCAGGGCTATCCACACTGACAAGTGGGACATTGAATGTATTGAACCTCAGGAGGGAGCCTGAGATTGTCTAAATTGGGGTCTGTTCAATACAAAATGCAGAAAAAATGTTTTAAGAAAGCAATTAAGTTTGTGTTCCAAAAAATATGATTGTTTGCTTGCAGGACAACAGGAGAGATGAGTCCTCCATCACAGATGGTGTGGGCAGTGAAGATGGTCGCCTGCAGGTTTAAGCTCATTGCATCTCCAACATACATCCACTGCCACTGTACTTAAGGGAAGTTAAAGACTTTCTTCTGCACCTACATTTGGATCACCTCGATCCATGATAGTCCTTCAGGCAGTAATGTCTGGACTGGAAACAAGCCATCC